TAGTTCCTTGAGAATTCTCCATAATTTTTTCCAAAAAGGCTGTATTAGTTTGAAATCTTACCAACAGTACAGAAGCATTCCCTTCTCTCCACATCCACGCCCACTTCTGCAGTTTTGGGATTTTGTGATGTGGGCTAATTTTACTGGAATTAAGTGAGATCTCAAAGTGGTTTTGATTTGCATTTCTCTGATAATTAAAGATGATGAACATTTTTTCATGTTTTTGTTGGCCATTCACATGTCATCTTTAAAGAAGTTTCTGTTCAAGCCTCTTGCCCACAAAGAAATGGGGTTGTCTATTCTTTTCTTATTGATTAATTTGAGTTCATTTTTGTCCTTCCTAGAAGAAACCCTATACCCATTAGCATTCAACCTCTATTTCCCTCCATCTCATCCCCAGCCCTAAACAACCTCTCATCTAGTTTGTGTCCCTATAAATTTGCCTTTTCTAGACATTTCATATAAATGGACTCATACAGTATGTTGTCTTTTGTGACTTGGCTTCCTTTCTCAGTTCACTGTTTTTATTTTTAGGAGATAGAATCTCACTTTGTTGCCCTTGCAGCAGCCTCATAGCTCATAGCAACCTCAAACTCTTGGGCTTAAGCGATTCTCTTGCCTCAACCTCCCAAGTATCTGGGACCTTACGCACCTGCCACAACACCTGGCTATTTTTAGAGAAGTCTAGCTCTCACTCAGGCTAGTCTTGAACCTGTTTTTATTTTTTTATTTTTTTTGAGACAGAGTTTCACTTTATCACCCTCAGTAGAGTGCCTTGACATCATAGCTCACAGCAACCTCCAACTCTTGGGCTCAAGTGATTCTCTTGCCTCCCAAGTAGCTGGGACTACAGGTGCCTGCCACAACACCTGCCTATTTTTAGAGATGAGTGCTCAGGCCAATCCACCTACCTTGGCCTCCCAGAGTGCTAGAATTACAGGTATGAGCCACCATGCTCAGCCCAGCTTACTGTTTTTAAAGTTTACCAATGTAATAGCAGGTATCAGTACTTCATTCCTTTTTATGGCTGAATGATATTCCATTGTACAGATGTACCAAATTTGTGTATCTGCTCATCGGCTAATAGCCATTTGGGTTCTTTCCACTTTTTAGATATTATGAGTAATACTACTATAAATATTTTTATACAAGTTTTTGTATGACATACATTTTCACTTCTATTGGGTAAATACCTAGGAGTGAAATTTCAGGGTCATATGGTAATTCTGTTTAGCTTTTTTTTTTTTCTTTTTAGATGGAGCCTCAAGCTATCCCCCTGGGTAGAGTGCCATGGCCTCACAGCTCACAGCAACCTCCAACTCCTGGGCTCAAGTGAGTCTCCTGCCTCAGCCTCCCAAGTAGCTGGGACTACAGGCACCCACCACAACGCCCGGCCATTTTTTTGGTTGCAGCCATCACTGTTGTTTGGCGGGCCCGGGCTGGGGATTCGAACCCGCCACCTTTAGGTGTATGTGGCTGGTGCCTTAGCCGATTGAGCCACAGGCACCGAGCCTGTTTAGCTTGCCAAACTGTTTTTCAAAATGGCTATTTATTTTTCATTCCTACTGGCTATATACGAAGGTTTCCAATTTTCTCATCTCCAGATTTTCATCCCATGTATTCATCAAGGTTAGAAATGACTTCTTTTTGGCTAAATCAATGGTCTAGTTTTAGTTTTCATCCCGCTTGACCTATTAGCAACATTTGATTCGGCTAGCTAATCTCTCCTTCCTTAAAACACCTCTTCATCTGCATTCTGGGAAATTACGGTTTCCCATTTTTCTTCTATCTGGCCTAGTACACCTGTTCTTGCTCTTTCACCAACTTATGATCACTGGCATCTCCAGGATTCAGTTCCCTGACCTTGTGCCTTCTCTACCTAATTTCTTTCATGATCTCACCTAATCTAACCACCATTTATATATGTTGTCTGTAAATGTATAGTCATAATCTAGATATCTACTATCAAATACAGTAGCTAAATATATTTATATTAAATTATGTGAAATTAAAAATTCTGTTCCATCACTATAGTAGCTACCTTTTTTATTTTTGAGACACAATCTGACTTTGTCACCCTTGTTAGAGTGCTATTGTGTCACAGCTCACAGCAACCTCAAACTCTTGGGCTTACGCAATTCTCTTGCCTTAGCCTCCCAAATAGCTGGGACCAAAGGCCCCTGCCACAACGCCTAGCTATTGCTTTGTTGTTGTTGTTGCAATTGTCATTGTTGTTTAGCTGGCCTGGGCTGGGTTCAAACCCACCAGTCTTGCTATATGTGGCTGGCACCTTATCCACTGAGCTATGGGCACCACCAACCAGCCATTCTTTTGAGACAGGAGTCTCACTCTTGCTCAGGCTGGTCTTGAACTGATGAGCTCAAGCAACTCACCTGCCTCAGCTTTCTAGAGTTCTAGAATAACAGGTGTGGGCTACCACACCTGGCCATATTACCTACCTTTTAATAACTTGAGGGCCACATAAACTAAATTACTAAACTGAACAGCACAGATAGAGCATTTCTATTATCACAGAAATCTCTATCGTACAATGCTGATCTAGACCTCTCTTCTAAACTCTAGAATTATATGAGGGCTGTCTGGAAAGCATCTAGCCACATACTATAAAAAACAGAGACATATGTGGGTGGATACTTTCAGGACAGTCCTCATATATCCAAGTGCTTTCCTGATATCTTTACTTGGATGTCACTAACATTTCCAAACCAAATCTCTAAGCCTGTTGCTTCCATTTTTTCCTATTTCAGTTGATGGCACATCCATCCTTCTAGTTGCTCAAGCCAAAAACCATAGGGTAACCACTGACTCCACTTTTACTCCACATCCAACTGATCAGCAAATTCTGTCAACTCTATATGCAGAATCTGACCACTTCTTATCACCTCCACATCTCTTACCTTGTTTGAAGCCACCATTATCTTTTGCTAGTTGTAACAACTTCCTAATTGGCCTCCCTGTTTTCTTCAACATAACAACTAGAGAATTCTTAAAGTTAACTTTAACATATTAAAGTTGAATCATGTCAGTCCTCTGTTCAAGATCCTTTAATGTTTTCCCAGCTCACTCACAGCAAGTCGAAGTCTAACAACCTATAGAGCCCCATATGATTTGACTCCATTAACTTTCTCATCTCATCTCCCACTACCTCCCTTTTGTGTACTTCTTGGTATTCATACTGGCTACTCCCCAAAAGCACCAAGCATATTTCAAGTTTCTGAAGAACATAATCTAGGAATCACAAGTTTAGGAATTAGTAACCGAGACTAAAAGAGGGATTAAAAAAAAAATCTATTTATAGATACCTAGGTACTCAGATTAACCTACCCTTAACAATGAGATCCCTATTCCATGAATGAAATTATATGAATTAAGTTTTTAAAAGGGTCTTTCAAAAGCTGTAACCTCAACTCCTTCACTAAGTATGTACTTCATTTTTTTCTTCTTTTTTCCATCCTAGTTGTCCTAAAGTAAGCCTATATTTCACCAAAAAAAAAACAAACAAAAAAACCCCCCAGCTAATTAGCTTTCTGGGAGGACAAGGACAAACTAAGCAGTTAACAGGATTTTTTTAAAATAAAAATTTAGGCTCGGCGCCTATGGCTCAAGGGGCTAAGGCACTAGCCACATACACCTAAGGTGGCGGGCGCCTGTGGTCCCAGCTACTTGGGAGGCTGAGGCAGGAGACTCGCTTGAGCCCAGGAGTTGGAGGTTGCTGTGAGCTGATGCCATAGCACTCTACCCAGGGGGATAGTTTGAAGCTCTGTCTCAAAAAAAAAAAAAGAAGAAAAAAGAAAAAAGAAAGAATATAGATTAAAATTTCTGATTTGTATCAGAAATTTTGTGCAAATTTGTGCAAATCAGAAATTTCGTATTACATTTTATATCAGTATAAATACATAAATTCTTATTTGCCAAATTATAAAAGACCACAGTGTGATCGACAACTGTCTGCTCTCTAAATTCAACTCAGTGTAGCTGGTCTAAAAACCAGCTGGTATGCTTGGAAATAAGAAGCTTATACAAGAATCCAATTCAATATTCTGCTTCCTTCATCAAGAAAATCTTGCTGGCTCGGCGCCTGTGGCTCAAGTCGCTAAGGCGCCAGCCACATACACCTAAGGTGGCAGGTTCAAATCCAGCCCGGACCCGCCAAATAACAATAATGGCTGCAACCAAAAAATAGCTGGGCGTTGTGGCGGGCGCCTGTGGTCCCAGCTACTTGGGAGGCGGAGGCAGGAGACTCGCTTGAGCCCA